GGAAAGTGAACAAACAAACTTACTGCTCAGTTGTACTCTTCTTTTTAGATACACAAATTGTAGTAAGTTSAAACCAATAGAGAGAACTAGAATGGCAATAACGACTCCAAGGACTGTCGAACCTGTTGGAAAAGTGATCATTTGACATGGTACAAGTACAAATCCACGAAGCAGGAAAAAGGGACATTATTARTTGTTTCTTTGTTGTTGTTGTGGTTCTGTTGTTCAATTTTCATTTTATAGGGCACTGGCTGGCACTTATTTTTCTGCTTTTTTTTTACCTATGCGCTAGTTACTTTTTTATACTTACAAGTTTTTGATCCTTTTTCAATGCAGTACTTAATTGCTAATACAAGAAAGAAAGAAAAAAAATTATTCAATACCCCGTTTCGTTCTATAAACATAATTCCCTATGTATCTTTAGAAKAATCAATACTTGCTACATATTGGTCAATAGAATAGGAGAACATATTAATAAAATATGTTTAATTTTTTTAACTGTWAATTATTTCTGATACCGACCATTTGTAGCCGTTGCCTTGTCTGCTGTAGTATTTACCGTCTTGGCACCTCCTTCATCCTTCGCACTTTCTCCATATTTGTTCCATGCAGTTACCATAAACATGTATGTGTTGCCATAAACAATGTCCTTTGTTATTTTATATTCAAGCTGTTTTGAATCAATAACGTTATCATACTTTGTCCACTCAGCCTTTTTCTCGACTTCCTTTACGTAGATTGTGTACCTTGATATGTTGCCGCCATTGTCATCCGGCTCTTCCCATCTCAAGASGACTGAGAGTTTGAACTCTGGTGACCGTTCAAGAAGAGCTATCACTAGCTCTGGAGCTGATGGCTTACCTTATAATTGCGCATCAATATGTAAAACAAACAAACAAAAGAGAAAATTTCAAAAAGAAAAAGGGGAAAAGCAAATATTTTAGCAACAAATTGGGGTCGGTGTCCACTGGTAGAACGAAGCTTGGGATTGGATAAAATAACAAAAACAAAGAAAGAATGGATTATGGTGAACAATGTGTATTGTACTACATGTAAGCTGCGTTCTTTGTTTCATCTCACCATTCATTGTTTGTTCATCCACTCCCAGGCTTCGTTCTGCCCCTTGTGGATTACCCACAAATTGACAAAACACAATTTGGTTTTCCGGTATTGCACTGGTTTTTCGGTCTGGCATAGATGGGAGCAATCTGTCAATAAGACACTGTAAAATATCTTGATGCAATTGATTGAAATAATTTATTAACAAAATACTTATTTCAATCAATTGCAATAGAAAAAAATGCTGATTATATTTTTTCAACCTATGCAAAACCTTTTTTGAATCAAGAATGTATTGAGCACGACAAAGCATACAATGTGTCATATTAACATTATTTCAATTATCTCACTTCATAATAGTAATATACTACTTACCTTTTCCTTTCATATTGTATTTACCTATTTTTTGTGTTCTGATAATTTTGGAAGACTCCACTCCATATCCAACAATATTCTTGGCATACACTTTGACCGCGTAGAGCGTGTTTGCTTTCAGTCCTGTTATAACAGCATGGGTTTTCACTGTGATCACTGGAAGCTTGGTACTGACTTCCACTAAGTAACCAGTGACATCGAGTCCACCATCATCAGCAGGTTTGTACCATGTAACATTTATGGATGATGCTTCCACATCGGTTATTGTTAAAGAAACAGGACCTGGGGAAACTTCAAGGTTTAAAGACAATAATAATAAAAGCTGACTAATGTGAAAAATATAAATTAAAATAAATAGCATGCGGTTGTTTCAGTCCATCCATTGTGAAACGTTTTATTTATTTATTTTTCTTTTTATAATCAAAAAATCAAAAA